CCCACCAAGGACCACCACCACCACCACCACCACCGTCTTTCGACTTACTGCGACTGTTCTGGTGCCACTAACAGCTGTAAACATTAAAACACAGAAAAATGACACCGATGACGGCGGATCAAGTGGAGAGAGCGGAGAGAGAGGTAATGAGATACGCAACAGAGGGAATCCACTACTACAACGACGAGGAGCTGGATTTGTTACGACAAAGAGCGCCGGCGTACTTTGACACGAGGGTTGACGTTCAGCAGTCAGTGGCGGCAAACGGAGACATGTCAACGAGAGCACAGCAGTTGCTGCTGTGTTTATCTCAAAATGCCGACGTGCATGACGACCACATCATGACGGAGTGCTCTGCGAACACTCTTCACGGAGTTGTGGACTGGATGTGCAACGACCAAGACATCGACATGACGAAAAGAGAGGGAGGAGGTTCGTACGACACGGCGGCGTTCAAGAAATTTGTGAGATCCCAGGCGAGGGAAAATCAAATGTTGAAGACAGTGGGTGGTGAAGAATTGAACCCGAACGCTGCGGACATATTGGCGCTGAGCAGGATGAGCGAGGAAGCACAAAGAGATTCTGTCGACTACCATGAACTGGCGACAATGGTGGTGGACGGTGTCGAGTATATGCTACTTGACCAGATTGTGGACTTCATGAAGAGTGGAGGCGAGGACAAGAACCTCATTCACGAGGCATTGCATGAGGTGACGGAGGACGCAATAGCAGCAGCGGAGGTTGTCGATGTCGAGTGCGTAAAGGATCGCACAATCGACCTTCTATCGGGAGATCCTGTGCCCCGAGGGAACATATTCAAGGCTGTAGAGGAGCTCACCACGGCATTGACAGATGTGGACAGGAGGAGGAAGAGAAAGCAAGGATGGGAAATCGTTGTCTAAGAACACTATAGCGCACGGACATACACAAGAGACATAACAGTGCTGGACGTAGGTGACGCAGTATCTCTTCCGGATGTGACGACCGTGTTGAAGAATCCTGCTGCGGATGCCCAGACTGTCCATGGCGGATTCAGAGAGTGGAGATTGGCACCCATACGTCCTTCACGTGACTTCAACGAAGGGGGTGAACAACCGCCTCGACAGGGAGATGATGCGGTGGTTCATTCTGATGACAAGGGCGATGCGCAGACACGACCGCAGCAAGAGAACCCGGCTTTACGGGACTTGGAGGTGAGTGGCAGTGATATCAGCAGCGACGAGGAGGGCGAGGAATACGACCCTTACTGGGACGTAAAGCGAGGTGGTGGTCAAGCCACGAAAGGCTGATGTCATGCGATTATGAGGTTGGCACGTTATTTCTCGAAACCGCACCCATTGATACGTGTTGTGGACAACGTGGCAACACTGGACGGGCTTCTACACTTCGCAGCTATCAAGACGATTATGTCGTGCATCAAAACCGGCAAACGTTGGACTCGCACTGAAAAATCATGGTTTGTTCTCATACAGAAGGAGACAATTCTGACGACATCGATGTTATGGGGTGTGAACTTGAGTTGCGTCATACACGGAGCAGCTGCCACTGCATGCGGTGCCACCGTGCACCCCACAATGTCAACAGCGGCTGCAATTATACATGCACAACCAACACTCCTTCTGCGTGCCATGAAAGACGACAATATCGATGCTGCTATGGACATGGGCCGAACATCAGAGGAACAATTGAAATGGCGAAAATTATAGGGCTCTCTCTCTCTCTCTCTCTCTCTCTCTCT